ACTGATAGGCCATACTTCTTCCAATTTCTAAAAAAAATAAAAAGCACCATTTTTTTTTTTTTAGCATGTGATTTCTGTGTGGTTTCCAATGTTAAATCTCAAAACCTTTCTGAGAACATCTTTAGAAGGTTCAAACCACACATGTTGCTTTTTGACACATTATCAGTTGGGAGGGTGGGGGTGCTGAAGGGAGAAGGGAAATGCTAGTGCTTTTGTGGCAGTTCTGTGACTTCAGTAATGTTTAGTTGACATAGAACTTTGGATCTGTTTCACCAGGAATATGAATGTTGCTTCTTGAGCAAGAACTTTTTCTCATATACTATGTAACATGATTTATACATTGTTGGTTCTTGATGGATACTGGGTTATAGACAGATAGAAACACAGACAGACACACACTTACCTTATCTAAAACTGTTTTTTTTAAAAAAATATCAGGGAATGTAATGCTAAAGTGCACATGAATTATTTATTTTTCTTGAATAGATGTTGGCAGCCCCTGCATCTCAGCTTGTTAGGTACATTTGAAAGAGTTTCTACTCCAGCACCTTCTATAATTACAAAATAACAGTAATGAGAATAGGGGGTATACCATTTCAAAGATGGCTGGGAGAGGCTATCAACATACCTTAAATCACTAAAACTTGCAAGCTTCTAATGACAATCCACTGTTACATGTGGTGTTGTCATTCTATGGGAAGAAACATTCAAAATCAGTTTAAGGGACTGGGTTTACGGGTCATAATGAATGTACAAGGTCATTTTTTTTTTTTAAGTTCTGTTTAAAGCAAGGTGGAAAACCTGCAACTCCAGGACCACATATGAATTCTGAAATCCTTCTGGCAGCCTTTGGAGCACCTGCTTACTATGACTGCCTAAAATGATCAGGGGATATTGCTGGACTAGCTTGGTGATTTGGGAATTGCAGGCAGCATTTTACAGTGGTTTCATTCCTATTTACACAATTTCTACCAGACAGCAGCCACGAGAGATTTGTTTGGCTTCATGGCATATTTCCTGTGAGTATAGCGTATAACGTTCAATACTTTCTCTTCCTGTTTAAGAATGGTATGAAGACACTGGGGTGATGATTCATAGATCTGGGGTGTGGTGACATTAGTATATAAATTACACTCAATTCTATGTCTCCTTTCCCTTAAAATCAGAAAAGGCTGCTTGGTGTTTGACAGCTCCCAGGCATAGCCAACAAACTGAAGCTGAATCCCAGTAAGACAAAAGTGTTTTCAGAGAAGTGGTTTCCTGAAAATCCCATCCCTGTGCACACTGGATACTTGTCCCACCAACTGTGGCATTCAGCAAGATGTTAAGTTCTACCTTACCTACTCAATGGCTGCCCACCCCATTCCCCACCCTAAAGGTTCAGGAAAAGAATGGTGGGGAAAACTTTTCCTTCAGAAATGCTGTTATTCAGAAGATACCAAAGACCTGCCCAAATTATTCAAGGACGTAGCTCACACATGCAAAGCTCTGCTTTGGATCCATTCCTCAAAGCTGTGAAGTAGTGGTAGCTAATTGAAGGTCTTTGGGGCACACCTATGGATGGTTAGGAGATACTTCTCCTGGATTATCTAGTGAATCAGTCAAATCAGTTTAAATGTGTGGAAGAAACCTGCTAGCAATCCTGGAAGGAAATTAAGCAAGAACAGGGAACCTCTGTTCCTCTCTTCTTTCCTAATCTGGCACACAACTGTTTGAAAGACAAAAATCAGTCAGAGCTGGTTGTTATCATCAAACCTTATTGCCAACCTTGCCTATTCATTCCTCAAACTCTGGCAATTTAACAATGGAAAAAAAGTCCTGGAAAATCTTCATCCCCGCCCACACATTTGTTAAAGGCACACCAGGCAGGCACAATTTAATCTATCAGAGATAAATGACTGATAATTAAAGCAGGAGATGGGATTCATTCCATTTAATAAGTTTGTAAGGAATAATTTGGTCAGTTTTAAAGGCACGGTGAATTCTCCCCTGTAGCTTTCTTGCCTTCCATTTCACCATGCTAATCACTTGGAAGACTAATCCATTCCAATCAATTTGAATACATTAAGATCCTTCCTTTCTATTTCATCTCTATCTTTAGCCGATTTAGAAACTGCACAGCCTTCAAAGACTTCTGAGTTAAATTTAAGTGAAACTCCTGACTCAGCCTTCCAGCAGTACCCTGCTTGTTACGTTTCTACATATTATACTTACCTTTCTAGAGAATTATTTCATTTTTTGCCTGCCAGCCATGCTTTAATCCCTGTCAGTGGTATGTTCACGTGCACTGCTTTGTAGAGCTCTGAGCCCCTCTGCAAAGCATGGATGAATTTCAGAAGGGATTTCCAAGCTGTGTAGCACTATTTTCCATTCCTGCCTCCCCCCCTCCCCCAGCTGAGGGCAAACATCAACTTTACCTAAACTCATCAAGGAACACTCTCTTAAGAAACTATCATTCTTAGCTTTGATAATTAGGATATTCTGTATAATATATAATATCATGTAATACTGCTGATAGGAAATCAAGGTTTAATAGCCTGCCTGCCTTCCTTTTCTTGAAAACCCTTGGTGAGTTATTTACACTCTCCCTCCTCTAGAAACTATTTTCAATTGTGTGGCCCTTGAATGTTACAAACATTCTTCCACTTTTCCTAGGTAAACACATTTAAGCCGCACTAAGGACTAAGGTACACAATTTGTTTTCCTTACTTGAGTCATCTGTAGTTAGGTTCTATGCAGGTGGGGCTCAGATGAAATCCTTTACTATGTGGCATTGTTCTTTGTGTGTGTGTTTTAAGATTGTGTTATCCTTTTATGTTGTATTATGAAGAAATAATACTGACAGCATTATGCAATAACACTACTAGGACGAATGATGGTAAGATGAAGGATGCCTTGTTAAGAAGTATAATGGATCTAGCAGTGAAAAAGCTGGCACATCATACTAATGATGGCGTCAATGAGAAAACCTAGGAAGGAAGGAAATGGTAGCTGCTAAAAATATCTTGCTTTACTTCTGAAGACAAAGACAAAAGGAACACTTTTGCTCCAAATGTTAGCAGGGTAACTTCTGCAGACTGCCTGTGGACCCAGAGGGAGGTCACACCTGTGTGAATTTTGCCCTGACATTTCTGAGACAGGAGGCAGAAGAGATTAGAGGGCTCAGAGCCCAACAAGGAAGGATGTCAGCAATCAGCAGTGCTGAGAAAATCATAGCTTGAGTAATTCAAAGGATGAGCTATTAAATCCTGAAGACCCAAGGTTGTAAAAGGTTGGTAGAGAAATGAAAGCCACAGAATAAGTAGGTTAGGAGGGAGGAATGGAAGTGAACATTGTGAAATAGCAACCATGGACAGAATAGCAGTTGCAGACTTAAAAAAAAAAAATCTTAGT